GACAAAAGTTTCTGGTTTAAGAGACTCCACTGACAACAGAAACTCAGCCTTGAATGCCACAGTCTCTCGACAAGCTGAATTACTAAGTCTTTCCCTGTATTTGGCTGACTGGTGGGGGTGGGAGAGATGGATGGACAGACCGAGTGATTCACTCACTCATTCAGCCAGCAGGTACTCTACGCGCACACGCTCCAGGCCCATGCTAGGTGCCGGGGATGTAAAGATAAATACGACCCGCTTCTCTCCTCAGCCACATAAATTCGATAAGTAAATGGAACCCTGAGAGCTGCCTGAGACTGTCAATACCATCTTCAGTTGTGTTATTGACTTGGCAAAGGCTCTCATGTGGGTTCTCATGAGCAGGAACTGTCCACACTGCAGAGTGAGTGTTTCCTACAGTCCATTTGGCCCTGGGGCTGCTGTGCCCAGGAGCTCAATGCCCGATATAAAGAGTCACACCAAAGCTTGCTCTCAAACTCAGGTTTTCATAAGGGCCACGAAAAGAAACGGGCTTCACTTCTATCTCTTCTGATACAATGATTTCCATAGGTGAAGACCGTCCTTGATCGGGCCCCGCCTGCTCTCTAAGGGGAGCTTTCACTTTGCTACAGGAATTCACGAGATGAAATGAAGGGGCGTGAGCAGCGCAGCATCAGAACCAGCGTGGCTGGCTCCGTGACAGTCACTGCAGCTGAAGCTTCGGATCCCTTGACATGAGTGGTGTTGTCGACAAGGCCCAGTTTCTAACCTCCTCCGGAAAAGGGAGGGAGGGAGGGGTGTCTGCCTCCTGAGCAGCTCAGTCGATCAGCAGTCGAGGCAGGTGGGCCCAGTGACCACACGATTGCGGAGTTGATGACTGAGACTTCCATGAAAGCACATGAGGAAACAGCCAAGAAGGACCGTTTTGGCCCAGGTGCTGGGAAGAAGCACATGAAGGAAAACAACTGAAGGAGACCAGGACGAGGTGGATGCGCTGGAAGACAAACTGACATGTGTCTGCCATCTAGTGCTAAGTGTGAGAGGATGACAAAGGAAGCCCTGCGAATGGGCACAGAGGACGTGCAAAGAGGCACCCAAGGGTAGAAGAGAGAAACACGAGACGTGAGAAGGATGCCAAGCACAGGGGGAGAGGAGCAGAGCATGACACACACACGTGCGCACACGCGCGCACACATGCACACGTACACGCACACACACAGGAATCAAAGGAAAATGTTTTAAGAATTTAGGTTTAATGACAAGGATGGCACAGAGCACACGGGGCAGGAGGTCACTGGAGGAAGTGGTGCAGTCTTTGAGAGGTAAGCATTGAGGGACTTATTGACAGAAGTCATAAACGTAGCTAAAACATTAAAGGAATTCATTGCTGCGGTGCTCACAAAGGAAGATGAGGCAGATGCCCGAAGCAGACATACACTTCCCGGAGGAGAGGGATGAAATGTGCAGGAAATCAGAAGCGTGCCCAAACAGGTGATCAGGAAATCTGAACCTCCGCAGACTGCCCAGGCTGGGCCCCATGGAGAGAAGTGAGGGGAATTAACATGCAGCAGACAGAGGCTGAGCCCTGCTGCAGGAAGGCCTGGCCGACTGGAGCATGACAGACGCACAGCGATATCGGGCATGAAATCCCTATCTGGTTTAGCGCGGGAGGCTCTGCTATCCCAATAGCAGCCGGTGTTTGGAGGTCAGAGCAGATTCCATGCCACCGTCGCACAGCTGCCGGCCGCCGTGGCCACTTCAGCACTGTGCAGGCCACTTGTCCACCTTTTGCCAGAACAACCCAAACCCCATCTCTTCTGAATGCTCTTTAACTCACAGGAGCCTCCACGCTGCACATTCCTCACCATCCCCGACTGGGACCCTGCCTCTCTGGATGGGACAGCACCTGCAGAAACAGTCTGACCTGGGAGACGTGGCAGGTGATACCCCCACATTTCTCTTTCTGTTATTGCACAGACAAGTTGATCTTCCCATGCGAAAAACCACGCCCACCCATGCTTCTGAAATCTGCACAGTCTTCAGACGGGCAGACACTGGGTGTCTACATGGACACGAGCTCTGGCTCTGATGAACGGAGGCCACTGATGTCGGCTGGCACACAGCAGTGACACACTGAGGACCCTGCCTCCCCTCTACACTGCCCTCCACTGTGCCACGGGGGCCCTGACCCCACGGGGCATGATGGCATGGTTCTCACTCTCAGCATTCTGGTCCCGATTCTGCCCCAGCCCTCTCTCCCAGCTGTCGTCTGCCAGGAGTCCTGCCAACCAGCCCGAGTCACCCCCTTCCCTTAGCCCCTGCCCCTCATGCCTCTTTGCCACACCTGCACACATTCCTGCTGTGCCTACGACAGGTGACGGCTTCTTCCATGTTGTCCCAGAACCCAGTTATGTGTAGCAAACAACATTCCTCTTTGCGGGTTTGCTACGTGCTTGATGCCCAGTTAAAGTCAACGTTTTTATGCCTCTTGTACACTCTGAGAATGACACAATTTATGGATCTTGCCTATGATCCGGTCACTATTTAATGGTTTAAGATGTTTCCCCGTTGGCAACACTACATTGAAGCTCTTTTTCCTGATCAATAACTGACTCACTGAGGCAGCTGAGTGAGTTGCTCATGGCCAAATGTGACAGATCACAGTGACCTCCCAGCCGACCCATTCCCACTGGCTGGTCCAGAGTGGTTGGCTCCATATAGATGGCTGTGGGACACTCCGGGGAGATAGGGTCTCGCGCTCCAACTTGAGAGCTGTGTGATGAAGGGATTCTTCATCTGGTGCTGAGGTGAGGGGTTGGGGCCCTGCTCAGACTCTCTCCAGTGCTTCTCAGCCCTCTCCCAGTGAAGAATTCCTTTTGTTGTAATACATAATCACAGAACCTCAATATTTCATTTTAGCTAACAAATTTAAGTGGTAAGAAAAATTGGGATTTATGCACAAAACTTAAAAAATATGGGGATCATATATGTATTAAAATGTAATATTAAACTGACTTTCATTACATGACCAAAAAAGTGCTTTTATGACCTGATGTTTAGAATTCTTTGTTTTGTGGTTTAAAAATTACCCATTGGCTTACTTTTATAATGTTCAAGTTTGTGTTTTGAAATAAAGAGATAAAAGGTGTCTGAGGCCCAGAACTATTTACAAGTTCTCTGCAAGAAACATATTGTGGGTGTGCATTGATTTTATTCTAAATAAATAAAAAGGCAAAATGAATATAAATCTGCACAATATTTTCACTTTTAAAAATGCTTTTGTGAACCAGAAACACCTGGATGTGCTCTGGAGAATCTGATTTGACAAACACAGTGTTCGATCCCAGCCCTGTATGGAAACCTCTGTTCAAAAGGCGGGAAAAGCTTTTTTCCAGTCTCTCTCTTCACCTGTCACGGGCACTCTCTTGGCACCAGGGACTCTAGGCCAGACGCTCACCAGCGCCAGGGCCTGATCCCGTGGCTCGCACCCTCCCTGCAAACGTGCCAGTGCCCTGGGAGGGAAGGATGGCAATGGTTGTGGGCAGGCTGAGGAGGGGCAGGGGCCACCAGGGTCAGGGCACTCTTCCTGGGAAGGCAGAAGGGGCGGAGACGAGCCTGAGTGCCAGCTGAGGCTCCAAGACCCAGGTGGGAGTTTCACTGCCCCATGGGGCTTCCCTTATAAAAGAATTCAAAGGTAAAACTGCTAAGAATTTCAAGACAATGCTGGAGAGCACTCCACCTCAAGCACAGGCCCCTTCGGGGGGGGGGGGGGAGCGGGGGATTGGGGTGGGGGGGAGAGCCCCACGCAAGTGCCTTGGTTGCCTGCCCGGGAGGCTGGTCCGTGCAGATCTGAGAAATATCGTGTTAAGGTGAAATTGCAGAACTGGTACTATCTTTGTGCCTTTCCTTTACCTCTGAAGTTTCAACCTCACTGCTCCTCATAACTCTGCCTGTAACCTGCGGTCCTTCAGAGGTCCACGCTAAACACCCGTCTGTGCAAGAGCAAGTGGGGGATGGGCAGGCTCAGTGCACAGACTCAGGCCATCGGCCACACACCAACCCTCACCCCTGGTGCTTACGCCACGCCCACCCGAAGAACAGAAAGGTCAGCAATTAACTATTATTTTAAACTCAGAATGGAAGCAGATGCCGACACTCAACGCCACTGTGAGTGAACCCTGACGATCCTGTGCGCCTGATGACACTCCATACCGTGGAGGGGACACAGCGCAGGCATGCCTGCTCAGCCCCGATGGCACTCGCTCTCCTTCTGCGGTCACCGTGGCCTCCCTCACCCCAGGTGCCCCAGTACTGCAGTCCCTGTAGGCACTGCCTTCTCTTTCCTGACCCAGAGGAACCCAGCGCCCTTTCCCCAAGTCATTTCCAATCCAGACAAAACAGCACAGTGATGCCTGAGGCCCAGGCACCTCGCCCGACTGCCGCCCTGACCACGGGTACCAAAATGGGGAAGAACCCGCCCACTCTGTCTTCATTAAATCCAAAGGTGAAGGAACATCCACAGACAGCATGGTCCATGGGAATGAGTGTCTGTCCCCGGGGGCCAGGCCTGGGCCAGGGAGGAGCAGGCCCGGAAGGCGGCTCGGCCATAAACACGGCTATGCAGCCGGCACAGGACCCAGCAGGCAGACAGGAACCCAGCGACTGCGCCATGGCTGCCCCGTGGGGCTGGGTTCCTTCACCACCATGCTCTGAGCCATGGGGCCTCTGGGAGGCAGAGGACTCTGAGGGCAGGGCATTGATTGATCTCTCAAGGTCCCTGTGGTTGCGATCTGCAGGGGCTGGAGGAGTAAGCAAAGCCACAGGATTGGCTTTCAGTAGCTGATGGAGAGACACTCAGAAACGGTAATGATACCCCCACTGTGCAGGGGCAGGGCTTTCTTCTGTACCAAGCTGTCGACAACAGGCCATTAGCGGGCAGAACAAACAGTTCCACTTACCTCGGTGTAGCATTACCTGTACATCAGGAACTATCACAGCGTCTTTCAGAAGGAGACCCTTACCTCATTTGCTGTGTTGTGTGTTCCAACGATTCGGATGAAGGAGGCAGGCTGTCTTTCAAAAGTTACCGACTGCCAGGACCTAAGGGAAGAAGCACAACCATCCGCCTGGTTAGACGGCATAGTTAACCGAGCACATGGAGAAGGAAGGCCGCCTGTCTGTTCCCGGGAGACCTGTGCTGGAGGAGGGATGGGGGACAGGGACAGGGCTGCATGGAACATGTGGCTGAGGGAGGCAACGGTACCCAATGTTCCCGTCAGAGCCTACAGTCTCATTGGGGAAGGTGCTCTACCCTTCTGTGAAGGTGACGTGGCTTCTCATAAAGCTCTCCACAGAGTGCCAACTGCACACCAAGCTCACATTGTGACAACAGTGAGGCCAAACAGACGTGACCCAGGTCAGCGGGAGTTCGTGTAACACATCTCCGCTGTGAGACGGGCCTGGCTCAGGGGCCGCCGGTTGCATGGCCGCATCCGAGTGGGCACAGTGACTTCCCTGGGGGGCTCTGGGAAGAGGAGAATCAGGGCAGGACTGTGGGCGGGGCAAGTGCCTGTGAAGTCCCAGCACCATGGTGAGAGAAGTGGGGGTTACTCACTGAGGGGTGAACCCCAGTTCTCCTGTCTGATGACCCCCACCCCATGCAAGTGATGGCACCTGGGGAGGAAGAGGCAATTTCCCACAGGCCTCCACCCTCCCTTTCAGCTTCCAAATGTACCCCCAAAGGTTTATTCTCAGGACTGCCTGGGCTCTGGTGGGCCCCAAAGCAGCCCTGATATGTCAGAGGCAGCTCCTCACGGATCAGCAGGGTAAGCCAGCTCATTTGAAGCCCCCAGAGCCAGGCTTGAGCCCTGAGAGGAGGAGCTCCCTCGTGGTTTTCGCTCACAGCTCATCAGAAAGCCCGGGAGGAACGCATGGCACCCACGACTGTAAACGCCAATAATATTTTCTGTAATAAATGTGAGGAGTTCACCATTGTTGCCATCCCTCCTCCACTGCACAGTGGAGATGCCAGCTGCTGGGAGCTGCTTCCTGTAATTGTCTAATTACCAAGGAACACACCAAAGAGAATGATGCATTTGCGGTTTGTTTTCCCCTCTGGTTTCAGGTGTTCCATCTTCTCTCTGCTATGAGCCTCCCACTGAGACTGATTCACTGCTGCCTGGACACCAGGCCCCTTAAGGTCATTAAAAAGTCGTTATCATCCTGTGTGCAAAGTCTGTGCTGCAGAAAGCAGTTTTCTGGAAACAGCACAAGAAAAATCACTCTGCTTGTACAAACGCTATCATTCATACGTGAAGGTGAGGCCGGCGGACCATCCCAGCGCTGGCGCTCCTGGCCCTTTCTCTACGGGGACTGTTTTGCTCCCAGACCCACCCAGATCTTGGAGAGTCTGCTGGGCGGGTTGTGGCCTGGGGGCCGGCGGGCCCTGTGGGGCTTCCACCCTGGGCCTGGGCTCTCACAGGTCTGGCTGTCACTTCCCAGCTAAGCCATGGAACCCATGACAGACGTGTGTCCTTCTGGCAGGTCTGGGGAAGCGGGGGCCCTGCGGGGGCCTGCTTCTCAGACCACCATCCAGGAAAGGGAAACAGGCCCAGGATAAGTAACAACAGCCAGTGACAACTACCAGGCTCAAGTCAGCTTCCCAGAAAGGATTGGGGTGGAGAGGGGTGGGAGTGGGGGAGGTAAAGATTTTGTCCTTAGCTTTCTAGCCCTAGGCCTCCCCAAAAAAATCTTCAAGTGCTTCTGGATGTGAAGGTGACACTTGACCCTTGTAGGCTCAGGGTCCCCAGTACACGCTCATGGTCCCGAGAGTGCAGGCAGGTCCGAACCAGCCTCCCGTGGCCCAACCCCTCCTCCTCCACCAGGAAGACTGGAGGCCCAGGGAAGGCACGAGGCCGCGCTGGGGTCGCCCTCCTCTCACTGCTGCTGCTCTGACCATCTCCCTCTGCCCTTCTCCCCCAACACCACTGCCCTCGCTTTGCTTGGGGAGGCAGGGCTGGCAGGGCAGCAGCCTGAGCAGGAAGGAGCATTTGTGGAGTAATAAGATCCAAAGGCCTCAATTTAATACCAATCCTCCATGCCATTACATTAATATCTAATCACATTAGAGTTCATTTTCACTAACACAGCCTGAGGTTGAATAGACGATTTCATTTTCAGCAAAACTGGATACACCCTAAGACCAAGGTATCAGTAGGAAGGAAGATGGCTAGGATGAGGTAATGAGCATCACTCCCTCCCCAAGTTTCAGATTCCATTTCCCCCCAACTGCTTTCAAACAGCCTTGATGCTGCTGGAAGGGAAGGTGGCATTGGAACAGTCCTCACGGCTGAGCCACATTTGCAATCATATGCAACCTCCACGGGAGGCAGCCGAGATCCACAGTGCCAGCAAACGCCACCGTACTAGTCCACTCAAAAGCTCAACTGCTGTTTTTGTTGAGAGCTGTAGAAATATTCCTACTTGCCAATTACCCTGAATATCTCTCTCTCTCTCTCTCTCTCTCTCTCTCTTTTTAAATGTATTGACTTGAGAGAGAGAGAAACATCGATTGGTAGTTCCACTTATTTATTTATTATTTATTATTCATTTCGTTGTTTCTTGTATGTGCTCTGACCGGGATCGAACCCGCAATCTTGGCGTATTGGGATGACGCTCAAACCAACTGAGTTGCCTGGCCAGGCCACCATGAATCTCTTTTCTGGTAGGCAACACTCACAGAAAACAGGGAGCAACAGGGGCTTGGCACTGATGCAGGTCAGAGGCAGGGCTGAACCTGAGTAACGGGTGTCAAAAAACACACATGGACTTTGCTTTGAGCACTTACCCCGAAACCACAAAACCCCCTGCACTCGCTGGCTCTCCACTGGACAAGTCCGTCCCCTTCCTGAGCTGCAATCTCCTCATGTGTCCAAGCTGACAGACAGAACACCCCCCACCCCCTAGCCCCCCACCTCCCCCTGCTACAGAATGAGGTCCCAATTACATTACACTGTCATGTATACTATCAAAGGTGTATACTATTCAAAGGTGTCTATAACAATGTCTGCCAAAATGCTGATCAAACTTTTAGTTTGGGATAGAAGAATTTCAAGAGACATTTACTATAGTTTGGTAGAGTATATGTAATCATTTTTCAAAAGTACCTATCTTAATCTACTGCCTAAGGCTCTCCTACCGGTCACGTGACATGAAGTCAGCGAAAAGGCCAGCCTGTGTTATGATGCAGGGTACTTCCGTTGAGAGGGTCTCTGGTGGCAGTCCAGACTGCAGGCCTTAATCCTGATCCTTCATGGACTGGAGGAAGGATGGTCCCAAGGTTGATGGCATGGGTTCTGGAGCCAGGCTACCCGAGTCTGAATTTCACTTTCTTACTCTCATCAGCTGTGACCTTGGGCAAACTGCTCAACCTTGGTGGGATTCAGTCTCTTCATCTAATCTACATATATAAAAGGCTAATATGCTAAGTGTCCGTCTGGGTAATGACATCACATAGCAATGTCCAGCAGCTTCCTCTCCCTAGTGATTAGCCTCCTTGCAGTTTCTTCAGCCCAGGAACATGACTTGCTTTATAGCCAGGTGGAAACATTTTACACTTTAACCAAATGTCTGTGAAGCATTTTCCCATGCCTCATCTCATTTGATCCTCACAGAAGTCCTGAGGTAGGTAGATAGACTCAGTGGAATCCTATTTTCTTTTCATTAGCCAGAAAATGGAGATTTAGAAAGCTTAAAAACTTGACCCGACTGAAAAGAAGTAAAAAATGGTGGACCTTGAAAATGACTTCAGGTTTTCTCACTGCACAGAATATAGTCAAACACTGCTGCAGTTAAATATTTTACCCTTTGTTCTCCCTGTGTGATCTACAATAATAATCTGCTTCATGTTGATATTTACTGCTGTGTTGCTGACAATTACCTGAAAGAGAAGTTAGGGTGCTTCACTGGGCTGGAAAAAGTTTAGCTACATCAGAAAGCAGGTCTAATTAAGCAAGTTTATTCTATGTATATAAAAGGCTAAGTTGACTCGCACGTGCACAATACATGCAAAGCTCTCGCTGGCACCAATGTGTGTTTTGATCTGTCATTGTCGATCGTGAATTTGGTTGACACTTCTATTATAAAGAAAGGGCAAATAGTGATATTAAAATATTTCTTCTAATTAATTTCCTTTCAATGTGCATGAATTCGTGTACCGGGCCACTAGTAATAACAATAACTATCAAAAAATTTTGGTGAATATTAAACTAACAAATGTAAAAGATCTAGAATAGTGCTGGTGTGTACTAGGTGCTAGAAACAATAGCTGACATGGTTATTACTCCTGTAATTACCATGCAGCCCAATGACCCCGGACAGGACACAGTGCCTCCCTGGCCTCATCTGTGAGTCTCCAAGGGGGATAGTGTATGATTCAATGACTACTGCAGAGGTTCCCAGGGGGCCCACGCACCCTATCAGCACCCATTCTTGGAGGAGAGAGGTAGCTGGGCTTTGGAGGAATGAACAAGTGTTTGTTGAATACACTTGTGAGCTTGGCACTTGCTGGTATTATGGGGCATCCACACAAGATGTAGTGGCTGCCCTTAAGAAGTTTATCATCTCTGTAGGGAGATCAGCTATCCCTCTGTGAACTAATTAGAAAACAATGCAAACAGTATAGTAGTCCCAACTCACAAACTGGTGGTGTTCCAAAACTTCCCTTGTAATTAGTTGTTTGATGCTTAGAAGCATTTTTTTCCAGAGAAATAAAGCTATAAATCTTGATTGGCTTCCTAGGCCCACCCATAAAACTTAATTTAACCCACAATGAGGCTGAAATATATGAAGCTAATAAAAAAAGATGTTGTTGCCATAGTAGTAATTAAACAAGCCAGAAAAACAAGAGATTTAAAACAATCTCTCTAGGGCTGCTGCTTGCGGAATGAGGATTAAACACTGGAATGAGTGTAAAATTGTGGGGATGTGGCTGGAAGATGGTGGGCAGGTGCTGATAAGGTCACGGGCTTCGGCCTGTCCTCCCACA